GAATTAGGAAAATATGTTGTGTAACGATTGAATTACGAAAAGTGTGATAGGTATTATGTTATACAGTTCATATATATGTTTCCATGATGATAATGATGTTATTGCTTTCGTACATTGTTTTATGAATTTCACCGAGGTAAGTAAATGGTAAAGGTTTTATTTATCGATAAAAGGATTTGTTGTAAATTATGCTCCATTGGTCGTTTTGTGTTTTCTACCCACCTTTACCTCCGTGACGGTGAGATATCGTGATGTCTTTACTGGGCTAGTGTAGCTCATTCCTTATTTAATCATTTCAGATCAAGAGGACATCGTTCCCTAGCCGATTCCGCAGGAGGACGACGAAGGAGACGCTTAAAGACTCCATAGTCACATTCGTAGTTTTTACTTTCAAGTTTCTACTTTAGGTAGTTTAATCTTTTATATTTTGTGAGCACGTTTCGGTTTCAGTGTGAGGGATGTTATTCAAATTTTGACATCGCTTCCGCATTTGATATTTTTGAATATAAAATTCCATTTTAAATTTCCGGGACTGTTACACTTTTAACCTATTTTAATTAATTTAATAATTTTTTATATATAATAATTTTTAAATTTAAACCGAAGTGTTAAGCATACATGGACATCAATGAGTATTTTGCATAAAGAGTAAATAAATAATTTTATTTGACTAACAATAATAAATTAAATATAGAAAAATTAAATTAATTAAAATTACACTTTTTTTTTTAATAGCAGAGACAGAAATTTGTATAATAAAATTTATAAAAATTAAATTAAAGATTATTTCAGGGTTGATCGGCGCGCAGGTTCTCCCTTCCGAAAATAACGTAGAGAGAGAGGACCAACAATGACCAGCTCCACAAAAATGGCGAAATCAAGGGTAGTGTTAGCAACTAGCAACGTCACCTTCACATTACACACCACACCAGAAAACACATCATCGCCTAAGCGGAGACGGAGGAGGAAGAAGGACATGGAAGAGAACAATTAGTTTGCATTTGGCTTCACCTAATTAGATTTTTCTTCAAGATTATCGCGTTTCATCTCGGTAGATTTTCTTATGCGGATAACATTTTGCCGGTTTGACGATTTGAAAAATCGATTCATTCTGGAAGTTAAATTCTCGCTTGCTTCTTCCGCAAGAATTTGTGTCAATTTGGAGAGGCAAAGTCGTGGAGATCTTATATAAGAATGTTCGTCGCTGAAATCCTATTTTCATTGATTTGATTCAAGCTTAGATTATATAACTGGCTTTCCATTGAGGATCATAATGGTGAGTGAGCTTGTGTTTTGACATACATGCATGCTGTTTCTCTCCCATTGGCACGTTTCAAGCTTACAATTCCTGCTTCTTATGTTCTTTCATAATCGGAATTCTTACAGAGGACAATGTGGATCACAAACGTCATTTTTTGTAATAGAATTTGGTTCATGTACTTTTAACTTCTATTTTTTATAGGGGAAGTAGTCTTCTTAGTTTTATTTTATTAATAATGGGGATACTAGCGGTATAATCTTTACAGGGAGTTATCAAATCATTTATCAAATCTTAGTAACAAAGATGTGTTGCCAAAAAAAAAAAATTCAAGCAATAAAAATTATTTGTCTTATTTAGTAAATAGGAAAAAGTACTTTATTAACGAGTTCACTAATTGCCATGGGGATATACTTTCTTGAATAGATACTATTGCAGTTGCTAGTTGGTTGTTTTTACTTTAATCTCCATTCAATTGCCTGTCAATTTCTATTTTTGGTACTCAGTTAGTGTTGATATGGATAATGTCGAACATATTTTACATTGTCTCTAGCTACCAGTCACCCAATCTATAATTAATTGCTGTTGGGAATTCCATTCCTACAGGTGAATTCTCACCAGTAAAGAATTGAATTTAATAAATTATATTATTACATATATTGAATATTGAAGATTGATTTAAGAATTAGAACTAGAAGGCTGATAATTGAATGAGAATGCATAAATGTTCACTTGGGGATGATTGCTAATGGCCTGACCACTTTATTGCTGACAGTAAATATTAAACTAGATGGACAAAGCTTTGAAAATTTGTGAAATAAGAAATGTAATGGTAAGTTGAAGAATGGTGAAAATTCAGCGGTGATGTAGAGTACTCGTTTGTCCAACCCTATAGTCTTTGGATATTAAAAAGATATTTTATAATGATTTGAAATAACTACAAATTGTTAGGTGTTTTGAAATATGCAAACCTATATTTCCAGAAAAAAGATAGGGAAGAAAAAATTAGTCTTTGTCCGCAAACCAACGACTATTTGGAAACTATGCTGTTAGGTCAGATACCCACAATATTTTGATGTCCTTAAGCCTTTTCTTTTTCACAGGTAGAACCAACATGGCATTTGCATATCATTACCTTCAACTCTATCTTTTTCTCCAAGTATCACGTTTCCATTTGATTGCTGCAGGAGATGCCAGTGAATCTTGATACCGGTTCTCATGTTTGGGTTGAAGATCCAAAGTTAGCATGGATTGATGGGATTGTGCTCAATATCAATGGAGATGAAGCTCAGGTTCAGACTAGCGATGAAAAGATGGTAAAGGAAAACATTTCAAAGTTGTATTTCATATCTTAAAATGTTACTGGATTTCTTTAAAATGCAGTCCCAATGTTGTTATTGGCTTCAAGAGTTATATATACACTCTCTTTCTTAGAAAGAAAAATTGAAACTATTGTCATCTCTTTGTCAATTACACTTCTAGAAGTAAATGTAGTTTCATTTTAACTGGAAATAAGGGATTACACCATAAAGATTTTTAGTACTTTGACCTCATGATAACATTCCTTCATTTTTGGGCATCATCACATACTGGCTATTTATTATGGTAAGGAGAGAGTTAAATGTTGAGGATCCCTGTTCTATTTTCTAGCTCAAGCGTTTTACCTTTCTTGGCTAGGTCATATCTTATAGATAGAAAGGCAGAACATATACCAGGTTCCAGGCTCTTCAATGCCAGAATTTGTATCCTGCTAATTGTCATTTGATTCATGTCTCTCTTCTTGTTATATGAAGCTTAAGATTAGCAGCTTAAGAGATTTCATATATTCAGGTAAATTTCACAACCTTACCAATGAATGATTGGGTCGTGGCTTAAAAGAAGAGAGGTAAGAGACCACCTACAGGGGATCTTCTTTCATATTGTGTCCCGAAAGACCAAAGAAACTGCTGGAGGAAGTAAAGCAACTACATAAAGCTTGAAATGGGATAGAATAAATCAAGTATCAAGCGAACTGTGAGGGTTGTGTAGATTCATTCATCATATCAGAGATGGTATATAATCTGTTTATGTAGACTGTTAGAGAGGAGAGAAACTGGAAATGTTAACTTTGCCACAATCTTAGCTCCGGTGTTAGGGGCTTGAAACAAGGGTAATTAAAATCAAGGACTCCCACCTCTCTTTTAGGATAAGATCTGCCCCTTCGTTGGATTTGTTACATTATTTGATGAAGGTTGAGTTCAGTAATTAATGGGCTTAAAGTGTGACCTAGCAGTTGAATCAGTGGAATGATAATGGATTCAGTTTTATCATGGCTATTTCCACTAATATGTCTCATTTATATTATTAATTTTTTTTTTCATCATTAGGAAATATGAATATGTCTTCTATTTCTCACTTGAGTCACGCTCATGTTCTTGAACCATCGTCTTTAAGTACATTTCCTGGTATTCAATCAGCTCTTCTCAATATTTCTTTGTAAACTTTTTATAGTTGGCTTATTTGTTTGTTCCATTATTTTGGTGTTTTGCCATGATAAACAAGGGTTTCCACTTCTGCAACTGATTACAGATGTTCATTGTTATTTCATTTAACTATATAAATAAACTTCATTAACAAATAATCACAGTTTTTATTTCTTGAATAAATTTCTGTTATGGTTAATAATGAAAAAATATAAAAGAATGGTGGTGGTAGATTTCTTGAAGTTTTGGCTTCGTTTTTCATTTCAGAATTACCAAGGAAGAAAGCAAGATAGTGAGGTTGACTTATTTAGGTATAAAATATAAGTAGGAAATTATGCTGTAATTGGGAGCATTTGTTGAGGAATAAAATAAACTAGAAAGTTGAGTATTTAGAAACAAAATAAAGTAGGAAGATGTGCTGTGATGAGGGTTAGTTGGATCCCACAATATTGGAAGCTATTGGCAGTGATCTTCCTTACAAATGGAAGATATTTCATCAATAAAGTTATGAATGAAGAATTTATAAACCAAAATTTTAAAGTAACTAACTTTAAAATTTGAAGGGTTCTCACTAACAACCACTAACCCCAAAATCCTCTTATTTCAACCTCAGTAAACCAATGACTATATCCCAAATCTTGAGCCCTAACATTTTGGTGCAGTGAATCATAGGAGACATGAAAAAGCCTAATTCGACTAGGTTCAAATTTAGTTAACCCATGACTAGGTCGCATATCTGGAACCTTGACAAATTCATTTATGAGTTATTAATGAGTTCTGTTATTTTTAATCAGTTTTCTTGTCCTTAACATTTCTCATATTATTTACTGCTCAGGTTTATGCCAAATTGAAAAAATTATACCCGAAGGATGTAGAAGCTCATGCAGAAGGAGTTGAAGACATGACTAAGCTATCATATTTACACGAGCCTGGAGTTCTGCATAATTTAGGAACCAGATATAAAATCAATCAAATCTATGTAAGATTGTTTTCAGTTTCAATTTTGGATTACCTAATGTTCACCCTGTTGAGAGAAAATGATTAGTAACTGTAGTTGTGGGTGGCTTCTTTACAATTTTTTGACATCATGGCAGACCTATAGTGGGAACATTCTTATCGCCATCAATCCGTTTCAAGGACTTCCACATTTATATGATGCTTGCATGATGAAGAAATACAAGGGAGCAGCATTCGGAGAATTGGGGCCTCATGTTTTTGCAATTGCCGATATTGCATATAGGTGATCATCTCGCATCTTATTATGATTTCTTTAATTTTTTTGAGATCAGGAAGATAGTATATTAATTTTCATATATTTGAATCAGGGAAATGATTAATGAAGGAAAAAGTAACTCTATTTTGGTTAGTGGTGAAAGTGGAGCTGGTAAGACTGAAACTACCAAAATGCTTATGCGCTACCTTGCGTATCTTGGAGGCCACAGTGGTGCTGAAGGTCGGACTGTTGAACAACAGGTTTTAGAAGTAAGTTAGATAAGCTACTGTAGCTTTCAACATTTTCTCAGATCTTCTGCATTAAGATTCAAGGCAATGCATTATGGCGATGGGAACATTTTCTTTTCTTTCTTCTAAACATCTTCCTATGATTAATGAGGACGATCACATTGATGGAATAATTTAACTGGAAATTAGAGAGTTTCTTTCTCCAACATAAAAGATCAAAATGGGGTAAAACTGAGACGTTTCATTTATATGTGAAACCAAACATTTTTTTACAACAAGATAATAATGTTCTTGAACAAACTGATTTGGTAGAGATTTGGGAACTGATCTAATTTCTCTCTGAATTTCATTCCACAATTTTCTCTGAAGATAAAATTGGATTTTCGCTTCTTTATATCCTGAGGTTATTAGATTAAGATATGTTTTTCCTTCAACAAATGTGGTTAATTAGCTGTTTACCTCATTACTAATATGTGTTATTTTACCTCGAGTCTTAACTAGCACAATCTTAAGCTTCTGTGCTAATTGTCTATTGCAGTCAAATCCTGTTCTGGAAGCATTTGGCAACGCAAAGACAGTCAAGAATAACAATTCTAGGTAAAACTTCACCAAGCGTTGAAATTTTCTCATACATGTATTTTGTGGTTCCTTTCTACATTTGAGTTTATTTGCATGATTATGTGTAATATCAGCTGTAACATCTGGAGGATACTTTTCTTATTTTCTTTGTTTTTTTTTCTCGTATCTTAATAAATCTTCTTCTTTTTAAACAAACGATTATATGTGATATCATAAATAATTATTGATATTGTTTGCAGTTTAACATTTGTCCTTACAAAAAGTTCTCTGGTCATTAATGAGATGCTTCAAATCGGCTGACTTCACCGTAGTTTGTCTTTAGACATTTGTGAAATGTGTTTTGCAGGAGGGAAGACACACTCTCATTTGTTTTTACATTGTCAAACATCATGGAACCTTTGGGTTAGATTGATCAAGTTATTTTGCCTTAATTGGGTGACCCTTCCAATAGTTGAGAATTTCCTTTGTGGCTCTGTATAGGGGTAGTGTGTCAATGAAGGAGCTATTGAGAGGGGCACTTCTTACAAGGTTATGGAGCATATGCCTTGCTAGAAACTATCATATCTTCAACAATCTGCCTACTCTATCCCATGAATGATGGAAAATTATGATCTATTAGTCTTGTCGGAAGCATCTATAACCTTATTGCAAAGGTATTAGCTAGAAGGATGATCAAGATGATTGATAAAGTGATAGGGTAATGCTAACACGCTTTTGTGGAGTAGAGACAAATTATGGATGCTGTTTTGATGGCTAACAAGGAGGTGGACGAATTATTATTTCGAATTAAAGAAGGGGTCCTCTAAAAAGTTGATATGGAAAAAATCTATGATCACCTCAACTAGGGCCTTTATTGATTATATGTTAAAGAGAATGGACTTCGGAGAGAGATGATGTAAATGGATTGATTCTTGCATCACCACAATTTCTTTGACGATCATGGTGAACGGGGGCCCATATTTGTTCTTCAAGCCCTCTAGAGGATTTCGACAAGGAGATCCCATTATCTTCTTTACTATTTATTGCAATCATAAAAAGTTTGAATAAGCTATTGATAAGGGTTAGGGAGTTGGAATTGTTCAGAGGGACGAAAGTGGGAGTATGCGATAGATGCAAAAAATTACTCACTTATTTTTGTTAATGATACCCTACTGTGTTATGAATCGGATGAGGGGTGCTCCTCAATATTAGACGTATCTTGTTGTGCTTTCAAGTAGTGTCTGGATTTAATAATAATTTGACTAAGTTAGAATTGGTAAGATTTGGTGATGAGAATGATGTTACTAAATATCTTAGAATGCAAAAGGGTGGAGTTGCTGATAAAGTATTTGGGCTTGCCCTTACGCGCTAATTATAAAGATATGAGAATGTGGAACCTGATCATATAAAGGTTTGAGAGGAGGTTAGTGGGTTGGAAGAGGAATCTACCACCTAAAGGGGGCAGCTTACTCTCATCAAGAGCACATTGGACACCTTCCCATCTACTACATGTTCCTCTTAACAATCCCAGTGAACTTAGTTAAGAGATTGAAATCCATTTAATGCATATTCTTGTGGGGCAACTCAGAGGATAGAAGGAGATATCATTTGATAACATGGGATGATATTAGAAAACCATTGCATAAGGGTGGTTTGGGATTAAGATCATACATGGATATGAACAAGGTGCTCCAGGACAGGCGACTTTGGCGGTTCATGATAAATAGTGGTACTCTTTAGAAAAGGGTAATCGAGAGGAAGTTTGATTCCGTAGATAAAGGATAGTTTACCATAATTTTGTCAAGACCGCATGGGAAAGGTTTATGGAAAAAATACGTATAGGAGAGAGAAATTTGAGAGCTGTATTAAGTGAAGGGTTGACAATGGAGAAGAATTAGTTTCTATACAGACTCTTGGTTCAGTGAGGGAGCACTCAGAGATCAATTCTCCCATATTTTTGATATTGCATGAAATAAGGACATCACAATCAGTGAATCATTCAGAATTAGTAGGGGAACTTTGAAATGACAAGTGAAGTTGACGAGGAACCTCAACCATTGGGAGGTGAATTCGAGTCCCTTGTCAGCTGTGTTTATAGTCTATCTGAATGAGAGTAATGATCAGCCAATTTGAAGCTTAAGGGCTGAGGGTACTTATGCGATAAAGTCTTTCTATAATTACCTGTGTACTTACTATTGAAAAATTAAAGAGAAAGGGAAAGATTTTGGTAAATGGATGCTTCCTATGCAAGGATGTGGAAGAATCTTGCAATCATATATTATTGTTGTCCATGGACATACAAGTTATAGGCTATGGTATATGGGTTATTGGGAATCAATTGGGTATTACAGACAATGTAAAGGATGAGATTGGGGAATGGAAAGGTATTAGTGGTGGAAAAAAGCATGTGAATCTCATTGCCATTTTTATTTTTTGGGTTGTGTGGAAAGAAAGAAATAGGAGAGCCTTCAAGGGGGTAGAAGATAACTTTGATGAGTTAGGATATATGGTTCCAAACTGTGAGCTTATTAGTTATTGGTCATTTTTTGCATACTACAGAAGATTTTAGGAATCTTATACATATCCTGATTGAAGTGTAAATAATTTTGTACATACATTGATACTCCCTTGATGCTTGTAAACGATACATACCATACTTTTATTTTAAAAATAGAATTATGGGAAATGATGACTTTTCTGCCTACTTTATAAACTAAAGTAAGTGGCTACTTCCCCGCAAGCAACATTTGTGAGCTCCATGAAAAATAGGATGTCTTTATTTATAGCACATAGTTATTTGTCACACACATGCTTTATACACTTTCTTTTACCTTTTTCTTTGAAAGGAGGATGCCTTGTTCTCCTTTTTTGTATTCTTTCAATCTCTCTTTTCAGACAAGCTTCTTTTCTTATAAAAAAGTACGGCTCCTTAAATTTGTTGATTTTGATATAAACTTATGTACTATTGAATGGTGCAGTCGCTTTGGGAAATTTGTTGAGATTCAATTTAATAAATATGGGCGAATATCAGGGGCAGCCATTAGAACTTACCTTTTGGAAAGATCTCGAGTTTGCCAAATTTCTGATCCTGAGCGTAACTATCACTGTTTTTATCTTCTCTGTGCTGCACCACCAGAGGTAGGTGTCTTAGCTTTAAGATTCATACTTTTTACTGCATATTCTTTGATGCTCTTTGTATTAAGTGAAAAAATTTAGCTGATAGAGTTATGTCTTAACAGGAAATTGAGAGATATAAATTGGGAAATCCAAAGTCCTTCCGTTATCTTAATCAATCTAATTGCTATGAACTAGTGGGCGTCAATGATGCTCAGGATTATCTTGCTACCAGGAGAGCTATGAGTATTGTTGGAATTAATGAGAATGAACAGGTCAGGTTTTTACCTTTTGATCTTAAAATGTTTCTTTGGTGGGTTATGGACCTCATGCCAGGAATAGTCTCTCTCTCTCTCTCTCTCTCTCTCTCTCTCTCTCGCCCTCTCTCTCTCTCTCTCTCGCCCTCTCTCTCTCTCTTCCCTTCTCCCTCCCTCTCAAGAATGGTTTCTTTCTCAGGATGCAATTTTCAGAGTTGTAGCTGCAATTCTTCATCTTGGAAATATTGATTTTTCCAAAGGAGAAGAAGCTGATTCCTCAGTTGTAAAAGATGATAAATCCAAATTCCATCTTCAAATGACTTCAGAGCTTCTCATGTATGATTGGACCCCTCTTCCTAGCATGAGTTATGGCTTTCTTTTCATGTTTATGTGTTCCTTTCAGGTGTGATCCCTCTGCACTGGAAGATGCACTATGTAGACGTGTAATGGTCACCCCAGAAGAAGTTATCAAAAGAAGTCTTGATCCTCTTGGTGCAGCAGTAAGCAGGGATGGCCTAGCAAAGACAATCTATTCACGTTTGTTTGACTGGTAGTATGCATGTCCAAATTGCTATATCATGTTTGCAACTGACTTGAAAAGAAAAAGACCTTTCTGAGGATACTGAAAGCAATCCCATTCAAGGCTGTCTTGTTTTTTGTGTCCCCAGGTTAGTGAATAAAATCAATATCTCCATCGGGCAGGATCCTCACTCCAAATGTCTAATTGGGGTCCTTGACATTTATGGTTTTGAAAGCTTCAAAACCAATAGGTAATGATTGTAAATTAAGTACATCTTCACCTGTGTATTCGACACACAAATCTCTGTGATGCAACAGTTTCTACTATGTACATTTTATATATGCTGTTTTTAAGTTGCTTGCTAAGATTTAAGAGTTCTAATATAAGTTATATTTATAGCCATTATAGTTATTGAGCTATGCAGTGAGCACAGAACGAACTATAACGCAGCATGTGTACAATTGGCATGCAAATCCCTGTGATGCAACAGTTGCTGCCATCCATTCTTTCTATATGCTACCACCATGCCTCTAAGGTTGCTCACCAAAATTAAGATTTCTAATATAAGTTATGGTTATGCCATCTTTTCTGATAAGGCTGTCTTGCCTGGATCATGAAGCTCGGGTGCAACTGGTAGGATAACTGCGTGGGAAGAAAACTTTTTCTTTTTTTCTTTTTCCTAAATGTTTTTAATTGTCAAAAGAGATAAGCAACATAAACAAAGACCTATATGTACCATTTTAGGAAGAAAATTGGAATTGAAAGCTTCATTATATCATTTATCAAGCTTAAGATCATTTAGAAACAATGATATAACTGCATGCTACTTTACAAGACTTCCACAACTTTTCTATGTTATTTCAGAATTTCTTTTTCTGGATAGAAGAAAAAGTACTATTAGATAGAGAAAAGAGAAAAACAGCCATGGAGGACTCACCATAAAAGAAATGTAGAAAAATTGACTATATTTGAAAGATAATAGCTAGGGAATGTCTACGAAAATACCCAAAGGGATGCTAAAATTGACATCTTATCTCAAAGAAGAGAAAAATGAAGCTCAGGGTCTCTGCAAATCCTGGCTTTTCTCTTCAACTAATTCACTAACAGCCTAACATAAATAGCCCCACATAGTAAAGGTTTAATTCCTAAAAGTCTGTTTGAGCCATGCTTACTAACACCAGATAAAAGCATACCGCCAACATAGACTCTTCACTAGTTATGACTAGATTGTAAAAATTCCCATGTATGTATGAAGAATAGGGAGTTCATGTTAGTGGGAAATAAGAAGTATAGGATGAGACAAGATTCATGGTTATGATCCAAAGTTTTTTCCCTAATGAGTCTAGGGAAATAAGAAGTAAGGTTAGTTCATCATGAAGATAGTTGGAACTTGAGTGGGTTGGCAAATGTGATGAAGAGGAAGCAGGTGAGTTCTATGGGTTGCCCTTATATCTTTTTTGCTTCAAGATAGTAAATTGGAATTCGTGGACATTCTCTTGATTAAGAGTGTATAGGATTCTAGATTTAAGGATTGGGTTGTGTGCCCTTCATTTGGGCTTTAGGTAGGATGCTGATCATTTGGGATATTACGGTTGCCTCTCATATTGATGTTCTTGAGGGTGTTTTTTCTTTGTCGATGCATCTTGATGGCAGAGGTATAGGGATATGGTAGTTTAGTTGTGTATATGGTCCTAATTTTCCTAGGCTCTACTCTTTCTTTAGGGATGATATTTCTTATGAGTTGGCATTAAAAAAGAGCAGGATCACCTGAAAGTTTATTGCCAAAATGTACCATCTCTCTCTCTCTCTCTCTCTCTCTCTCTCTCTCTCTTTAAAGTTTATTTATTAGCCACTTTATCTAAATACTTTGATACTAAGTTCTAAAATAGTTTTAGGGACTTAACTTCATTGTTACAAATTTATCTATTTCTTCGTCTATTCTCTTTTATTTCTCAGGTTCTCTTGTGTTTTTAGCCTAAATCTTAATATATAAGCTTATATCGAATATATATAGGGTGACTCAACTTTCTAATAAAAACCCTTATAGTTTAAATTAAATTTCAAAGTAATCTTAAATTTTATAAAATAAAGAAGTGCTTTTTGTGCTTAAAATTTTCATACTCTAGTTTGATTCATCAGTTTATCAAAATTTTTTTCAGGCTCAAATTCACTTGAATTTGATTGGGACTGAACTGAACAGAACTTTGACTAACCCAAAATCACACAGTTCAAAAACTTGAGCCCCAGTCAAGATTTCTGATTTTACTGTTAATATAGCACTGTGGATTTTGTTTTAGTATGTATTTTCTTTTTTGATTGCAGTTTTGAGCAGTTCTGCATTAACTTCACAAATGAAAAGCTGCAACAACATTTCAACCAGGTACTATGTTAGTTTTTTTTTTTTTTTTTTTAACCACAAATTTGACTCAGTTTCCAACATTTGATCTGAGTTTAATGATGTTTTCAGCATGTGTTCAAGATGGAGCAAGACGAATACTGCAAAGAGGAAATAGATTGGAGCTACATAGAATTTGTTGATAATCAAGATGTCCTGGATCTTATCGAGAAGGTTTTGTCCTCTTTTTTTCTTCTATTTAATAATTTTTAATGTGGTAGAATGTTCCAATTGAATAATGGCCAAATATTGGATTGACATAGAGCAAGATTTGTTTTTAACATTATCTTCATTGTGGCTGTATACAATTTTCTGATTACAATGACCAAATAACTAACGTTCTATGAATTAATCACAAAAGAATAATTTCTACAGTTACTCTTAATATAAATCCAATGATTTTATCCTAATTTATCATTGTGCAGTGTTTTTTCTTCTATTTAATAGATGAACTGCTGAATTAGCTTTCATATATGGATCTCTGAATTTTGTGCTTTTTTCAGAAACCAGGTGGGATTATTGCTTTGCTAGATGAAGCATGGTATGATATTTTTTTTTCCCTTAGATTCTTACCGTGATTAGCCTTTTCAATATCAATGGAAAGGTATGTAATACTAACAAATAAGGTGCTTCTTTGAATAAACTTGTTTATTGGTAAACATTTTTTATATCTACAGTATGTTTCCGAAGTCAACTTATGAAACATTCTCGCAAAAGCTCTATCAGACATTTAAAGATCACAAACGCTTCATAAAGCCAAAATTGACTCGAACAAATTTTACTATTATTCATTATGCCGGAGATGTAAGTTCTTTGTTCTTCTCTATAATAAATTGTTGTCTAGTCTATATCACTGTAACATGCAAGTTTATCATTCCATGCACTTTTTTTTTCAGGTCCAATATCAGTCTGATCAATTTTTAGACAAAAACAAGGACTATGTTGTTCCTGAACATCAGGATTTGTTGAGTGCTTCAAAATGTTTTTTTGTAGCAGGCCTTTTCCCTACACTTTCAGAAGAGACTGCCAAATCTTCCAAGTTCTCATCAATTGGTTCTCGTTTTAAGGTAATTTCTCTTCTATCATCTTGTTGATTGTTAAGTTTTTCCCCAATCACATTCCGTTGAGTTTTTTGTTAATGTTATCTTTCATCACATGTTCATTGCTCATTCTCTTCAAAATGGTGAAACCTGATCTTCTAACTTTTGCACCTAATTTGGTGCAGCTACAACTGCAGCAATTGATGGAGACACTGAATTCTATGGAACCCCACTATATCAGATGTGTGAAGCCAAACAATATGTTAACACCTGATGTATTTCAAAATGTCAACGTACTCCAACAGCTACGTTCTGGTGTAAGTATGTTACAGGATTGTGTTGTATAATTAAGTATTGGTGATTTCCCTTCCATATTCCATGTTACCTATTCCTTTTATAGGGCGTTCTAGAGGCAATCAGAGTCAAGTGTGCTGGATACCCTACTCGCAGGACCTTTTTTGAGTTCCTAAATCGATTTGCTGTTCTTGCTCCAGAAATCCTGAAAGGGGAGTAAGTACCTTCATGTTCTGAACAAAATTGAAACGGTTGTAAGAAGATAGTTCCTTTTAAAGAAACTTCGATTCCTAACAGAATAAACTGAACTATCATTATGGTATCTTTTTGATAGAAAAAGAAGTATTATTGAGAAGTAGAAGAGGACGTTATAAAGAAAACACCGGATAAGATATTTAGCTGAAGCAAAAGAAAAAATGAACAAAACAAAAAGTAAAACATAGACAACACAAAAAAGACCAGTGATCACGTGACTATTGCATCCCAGTTTCTATATAGGATAGTAAGAGAAGCGCCAAAATATTTCCCATGAGCCTTGGCTCATAGGGAAGCCATAAAAGTCATTTTCCCCCAAAGAAGTGTGTCCTGAGAAGACCTGCAAATTGTCCAAAGACCTGCAAACAAGACTTTGCCGCAATGGTCTAACCTTCTACCCTATAAATTCATTGTATTTATAAGGATACCTATAAATAAGAATAGAACCTAACTATATAGGACATCTGTAATTTTTGGATGCTTTTTTTTTTCTTTTGAAGGTAGAAAAAAATATTATTATATAAAGAAAGAATAAAAAAAAATGGAGGATATATTGGGGACAATATAAATATGGAAGGTCCTTTTGCCACAGTAGACTCGTCTTTGTTTTAATTAGAGCTTCTCTCAAATTCTTTATTCTTCTTGGTGGATTTTGAAAGAGTTTATATTTTTTCACTGGATTCTAGAATATATGTCTAGCTGAGAAGGTAGAAGGTAAGAAACACCCTTATAAGCTTGAACCATAAAAAGCAAATTTATTCACAATTCCGTGCTACATCATATATATACATACATACAATATATGCATACCTAACTGCATACTTGAATTTCTAAGTAAATGTAGATGTTAATGGAAAATAAATACTGGAAAATATTTTTGTTTATCAAACACAGCCTTCAAGTTGCTACTAGAGTTGCTAATTTCATTTCTCAAAGTTTATTTATCCATGAACAGCTATGAAGAAAACATTGCTTGCAAATGGATTTTGGAAAAGAGTGGGCTTACAGGATATCAGGTAGTGTGAGGAATTTTCTTTCACCTTATCTCCATGGGGTTTCTCTTTAATATTGACATAGCAATTCTTTGGACTTAAAGAACAAAAAAAAGAAGTGTATGAGAAATAGAGTTAGATGTTTTTGGCAGATATGCATTTGGTTT